TGGCAAAAGACCTTTAATTAAATTGTTATAAATTATTTTTAAAATAATAACTTAAAACCAAACAGAATTTTTTGTTAATATTTAACATTTAACATTTCAGGATTTATAAAATCTACTTAAAAATCATTCATCAAAATAAAGCTAACTTTTGGGAGATTTCATCAGAAGTATAATATTAAAACAGCTGCTGTGGTTTTAGAGATATTAAGGATGGAACATAAATATATTTGTTTCACTCTCTCCTGAATAATTTTTGCATTTGATATAACCCATTTAAAAACATAATGATTCAGGCTAAAACTCTTGGAAACCATAAATCCTCTTGTGGACATCACCTGTGCAAAGATTCATGCTGCTTAAATGAACTGGAGCAAAGTTACAGAGGTTTTAGTAAAGAAATAATTTTGAATTTTGTCATTTTGCACAGGACATACTATGATGGTACCATTAAGAAATGTTAAGAAATCTGAAGTTTTAATTGCAAAAGTTATATATTTTTTTCTTACCTGCCTGAAAAGATTTATTATTGAATGTTTGTTCTTTTGAAAAATTATCAAAACATTTATTTGTCACCATATATATTATATAAAATAATGAGAAATTATATTTGACTTCAGTTGGACCATATTCACTCAAAATCAAGTAAAATAAAACTTTCAACACACTTTATAACATATTTTGGAATCTATTTTAACTTGCTTTATAAAAATAATGTCTATTTTTTCCTTTACAGATTTGCTTTAACGTGTTTACAGTTTGTTTACTTTCTGATTTAACTGATTGACGTTTGAACTGTGTTTGGTGAATGTACAAATAGTTTTCATGAGCTTTTAGCCAAGATTCTTATGTTTATTTTGATACCAAACAAGTCCAGGTTCAACTGACACATCTTAAGTTAAAAGAAATTAAAGGAAATAGAAAACCATTCAACTATCTGAGACCCCCCAGCGCTGCCTGGCTCCTAGGGGGCCACGGACCCCACTTTAGGAACTCACAGAATAGAAATCTGAGATACTGTATATGTATATTAGGTTAAACAACCATATATTTTTAGATGCTCCTGATCTTTATATAAGATCTATACTTTAAGGTTCTTTTAAAGACTCACTTCTAATGACAGAGTGCCTTATTTATAAAAGTGTTCCTTCAAATTGCCAATGCCGACCACACACCTGAGGATACAGGTGACAGTGGTGTGTTTACAGTCTGTGATGAACTTCAGAGAGGCAGGGTAAATTATGTCAGTCACTCATAGACATTGGGCAGAAACGTTCTTATAGAAAATCTCCAGCAGAAACAATCCTCTTTCACATTAAAGTGAAAACAATACAAATTTTGTAACTTTCAAGTGGTCTGCTACTAACACGAAAACACTGAAAACCATTTTGAATGTTTCAACAACGTTAACAATTCAGTTCACAGCAGTCTGTGTAAAGAAGTAATTAAACATGAATACAGACATAAGGAAAATGAATAATACAGTTTGTGTAAAAGTAAAACATGATGAAAAATATTTGTTTCCTTACCAAGAAAGCAGATAGATGGTCTCTGACAGTTTCCAGCTCCTGTGGGACTAAAACTGCCTGAGTGTTCCAAAACTCCAGACGGTCCAGAGCCGACTGCAGCCAGGCACTGATCTCTGCACACTCCTTCTGGTACCTACAAAACCAGAACTTTAAATGTTGCCATGCAGTGATGGATATGTATTGTGTGGCCTCTGCTGTTTTAAACTCTGGGTTCTTGCTTGAACAGGCCGATCACAGTGAGCTGCTGTGGGTTGCTAGAGATAAGCTGTCTGGCAAAACGGGAGTCTATCCCATAGTGAGACATCGAAACGAATGCTATGAACAAGAACTTTAGGTCAGAGACTCTTAACCTATGGGCCGCGGCCCAATTGTGGGCCGTGAGCGCCACCTTGAGGGCCTTAAAGAACAATAGTTTTTAACTTTGGGCCGCAGAGGGCCGCGGGACCGCATTGATTTTGAATAAYMTGRAATACACTTTCTCACCACTAGTAGCAGTAGTGCGTCACTCAGTTGTTTAACAACTTTTTTAATATGTAGAAGAAGAAKCTTAGAAACCTGCTGAGAATGGAAACTTATTTTAAATGAAAAGTAGAAGCAAAATGAAAGTAACTCGTCAAAAAACACCAAAGTTTGTCACTAATTTGAAGAGCAGCTTCTTTTTTTTTTTACCATACAATATTTTAAAAGTTCAAAACATTATCAAATACAGTTGCAGATACAACTATAT